AAAGGTCCTTGTGGGAGGCGAAGACCAAAGGTGCACATGTCACAAATGGAATCTCCCGTTCCGGCAAATGCTTCTTCGATCAATGGTTCTTTCCATGCCAGGGATGGTTTGGGATTTTCTCCTAACACTGCACCCCCTCTCTTCCTCTGTGCCAAAGTGGCATCTCGGACAAAACGAAGGAGTGTTCGATTCTCTTCCCTCTTCACCTGTAGTTGTGCTCGTTGTAGTGGTGTCTTGTTTCCCAGGCTTTGAAGAGGGCTCCATGGTCCACACGGCCATGCCAGGACCAATAGGTCTGGATCGACCCGGTCGATGTAGTCCAAGGCCTCAGCATAGTCATTTGACTTCATGAAGTCCCAGCGAGGAAGGGTGACCGGCTCATGAAAGTGCCAGTGTCGTGCTGCTGCAACCAGCGAGATGGCACATGTCCATGCGAAGACTTCCAGCACCGACCATCTGCTGCGTGTTGGACGGACTCGCCTCTGGACAAAGGTCTCCGAGATTGCAGAACTGGTTGGCTTCTCCTGTTCTTGGTTGTATGACATGGCAATCTCATGGACATGGTGTCCCAACTTTCTTCGCAGCTGCTTGTTCATGTTCTTCTTCTTTCCCTTCTGTTGCTCTTGGACCTCTTCTTCTCGTTGGGCTGCCACTTCTCTTTTGTCTTCCTCCTCCTCTGAATCACTTGAGATGACCTCCACACCAACCTCATGCGAAGATGAACTTTCTTCCGCCTCCTCGGGCTCTTCATCCTCCGACATAGCTTCAATCACCTTCACGCCCAAGTCTTCTTGCAACTGCTGAAGCCATTGCTCCTTTCTTGCCCCACGAAACGGCTGGTCTTCTTCTTCTGCATCTGTCGTGTCGACTGGAGGCTCCTCATCTTCTGTGCTTCCTTCTTCCCCTTCTGAACCTTCTCCTGCTCCTGCAACGAAAGAAAGCGATTGGGGATTCTCTTGGAGGACTTTCCTTCTTCTTCTTCCTTCCGTTGACTCCCAAAAGCTTCTTGCTTCGTCTGCTTCCGTGTCCTCATAGTCCAGGAGGCGGATACCTGGATGCCGGGTCCAGGTCAAGATCATTGGCCGACTGGTGCCATTCAACTCCAACTCCTTTTCACTGAACCGGAACACGGCTTTCCATCGGCTCAGTTCTGCCGGACCGATCAGTCCAGGGCAGCTTGTGGCTTCTCCTTCCACCAATGAGATGCGAACCACATCCCATGCGCCGTGGATGAGGACGGGGTAGATGAAGGCCTTGGTGCTAATGACTGGTGCCCCAGCTCCAAATCTGTACACCTCATGTTCCTCCACCTGAGTCCATGGCACCTTGATCTTGGTCAGTGCACCTTGGAGAGCTTCATGCCACAATCGACCACCAACTGCATTGCGACAGCCAGAATCTGCAATGGCCAAACCTGGAGTTTGCAAATGAGGTGGAAGCTTCTTCTTAACTGCATTATAGACTTCCGCCTGGTGTGGCTCGATGTACCAGAACTCTGTGATCAGGACAGCCTGATGCGTGATGTCCTTGTGGAAGGGTACATCTTCTCCGGTGTAGTCATCTTGCAGTAGGACTTCTCCCGTGCTTGTCTTGCTCATTCGGCTGCAGATCTGACTTGGCTTTGGACCTCCTTCTCTGACAGTCTGGAGCTGTGTGGCATCCTCTTTCTCCTCAACCCATACCTTAGCTTGCCATGGAATTCCAGGAGGTCGATCATGCGCCAAGGTCACCATCAGGGCTCCATGCTTGACTGTCCAATACAAGCAGCTCTTGAGATCACAGTCCTTGCACTTGGCATAGTGACCATCTTGGTTGGCACTCCAGCGAAGAGAATCAAAAGGATGACGGCATCTCGCTTGAGTCTCTGATGGAGTAGGAGCTGCTTTTGATGGAATGAGACGTCCATCCTTGCACTGACTGTCATAGAGCTGCTTCCGGAATGTCTTCAGCTCCTGATCTCGCAGAGGTTTCAGGAACAGTTGATGGATGCCAGGATGAACATCCACAAGAGGCCAAAAGAAGAAATGGAGCCGGAGGAGAAGCATGTCAAGGAGGAACAGGACTTGTGGGACGTGGTGGAGCCACCACCTGTTCCACCTCCCTTCACTTTCGAAGTGCCCAGAGAGACGGCTATGGCAGCAGCATCCATGTCCCAAGGAAGCAGCTCGAAGGGGTATGGATCCATCAAGTTGCAGACGAAGGAAGTGATGGCCGCGTTGCCAAGCATGTCAAAAGAAGATAAGAAAAGACTACAGAAGGCCCTGAAAGATGAGGAGGAGGAGGCAGCCTATGCAGAGCTCCGGAGGATTCGTGCCTGTCAGAAGACCTATGAGGAGTACTGTCCGGACGTTCGCCCATGTCCGCAGTTGAAAAAGGAAGAGGAAGAGATCATGCGACGCCTGTGGAGCGCATCAAGTGATCGCCCAAGTCAAGGCCCACTAGCACCTCCCAAACGTGATGACACTCTTCTGGGACTCCGGGACTGGCCAGTGACATCGAGCACAAGTGCCAGGAGGTGGTGACTCATCCGCACCAGTCATGAAGGTGAAGTGCACTGTCTGCGCAACCTTCTTTGCAGCAGGGACATGTGGCTGGTCACGTCCACTGAGAACATTGGGACAGCATGCATCATGAGCTGCAGGTGCTATTCTTCTTCTTCAGATCAACGGCACGTCCTCCTTTTCCTCCTTGGCCCTTCTCTGCATTGGCCACTTTCCAGCCACGATTCTTCCTAGCTTCGGCTGTCTTCTGTTTGGCTTTCCAGCCGGCTGCGAAGAATTCTTTGAGCTCATCTGTCTCCATGCTATCCTCCTCATCTTCTTCTTCAGCTTCTTCTTCACAGCCCTCACCTTCATCTTCGAACAGGATGTCAAGGGCGTCTTCATCATCCATCTCCCCAGGCTCCTCTGTCTCCTCTTCCGGCTCTTGATCACCTTCTGCGATGTGTGCCCCATTGTACTTCTTGATGCTCACCTTTTTCTTGAAGTACTGCTGGCCTCGTGGTCTTGCATTGGGAGTGGACTTGTCCTCGTACCTGTAACTTCCACGCTTCTCATCTTCGTGGATTCGACTGCACCGGACCCTCAATGCCTTCTCAATGGCTGTGCTCTGAAAACCAGCTCCAGCGGCATAGAACACATCATGGCGTTCTCGCCTGTTGAGTGAAGCACGCTGCAGCAATCGTTGCCCCCCAAGCCATGTCAGAGATGCGTGATTCTGGATCAACTCTGCTGTATTGGGCTCGAAGTCGTTTCATCTCTGACAGATAGTGGGCGATTGTTTCGCCAGGCTGGCGTCTGCAGCGTTCCAACTCCTTGTCCACACGTTCGAAGAGCTCTGCATCGCTCTCGCCGAAGGCTTCGTCCAACACCTTCCACAACAACTGTAGTCCTCCAGCTTCGGTGTAGGCCTGAATAGGATTCTGTTCAACCACATCTCTGGCCTCACGACGGGTTGACAGATACACCAACATGGCCAATTCGTTGCTCTCCAGGGCATACAGGTGTTGCTGGGCCTGGATGGTTCGCTTCCACTTCAAATAGCGAGTGCGGTCACCATAAAACTCTTCAACCTTCATGGACCCCAGTGAGCTCTTGGGCCGGTATCCATCTTCTTGCTTCATGCGGCGCTTCAGCATGGACTTAATCTCTGAAGTGGCCGCTGTTGATGAGCGCTGTGATGCATCATCTAAGTCCTCATCGGTTCCTGGAGGCTCTGATGGTCCTTCTGGGTCTGAGGGTGGTGTCTTCTTCTTGATCTTCTCGCTGTGGTTCTTCCCACCCTGTTGTGTCTCTTCTGTTGGCTTGGACCACGAACCTGTTGAACCCTCTTGTGAGGGCATGACCATAGGAGGAGTTGGCCATGCCATGGGATAGCCATGCATCATCCACTGGGGATGCCCGCCAGGTAGACAAGGACCCGCTTGAGGAGGACCAATTAGACCCGGTGGAATAGATGCTTGGGGTGGTGCATGCACTGTACCAAAAGGCATGTGACCATAGTTGGGACCATACGTGAACGGCTGACCCCATGGTGTTGTCATCCCATTCCCCATAGCATTCATAGGTGCAGCTGGCATTGTATTGACCGGTGTCGGCATTGGTGGTGGCTGCAATGAAGGATCCGTGGTACTAGAGGGCATTGACGTTGGCTGCACTGGAACTGACAGGGGTGGTGCTTCTAGAAGTGTTGAAGGAGCCGGAACAGCCTTCGCCTTCGGTGCTCCTTTCTCACCTTTCTCACCACCTTTGCATTTTCCTTTCTTTCCCCCCAGGACTACTGGTTTGTGACACAGACCCCGACTCTGTGCCCTTCCCACTGCCTGGCCCTTTTCCATTCGGAGCCACGTTGATGCCTCATGGATCAGCCCCCTCTTGCCAGGGATCCACCTCCACAGGAAGTGGAACAGCAGCAGCCGCTGCCACCATGCCATCCGGCCCCTCCGCAGGAGAGGTCATGCCACCAGCAGCTGGCACAGCTGCTTCGCTGCCATGGGCCGAGTCAGCCATGGCTCAAGCGAAAGGGCGAGGTGAAATGCGCAAGATCCCCTTACCGCCCCTCAGGGCTCCGCTACCAATATGCAATGTGCTGGGGCGCCACTCCCTCAAAGAAAAGGGGGAAATGCAAGGGTTCCCAACCAAGGCGCAAACACAAGTGAAAATGCTGCGCAAAGCGGCTAACAAAAGCAAGCTCTTTTTGCGCAAGTGACATCGATGCCTTGAGTAAGGTGGCGTCATGAAAACTGCACATGCGAGCGACACCGAAAGCTTGAAAGACCCTCAACTGTACTTCTCACAGTAACAAGAAACTACTATATAGTGTGGTATGACTGATGCGCCACCATTTGACAATTTCGGCCGACTTCTCAATTTGGTGAGACGGTCAATCGCCGGCATGCTCGGCGAAGAATTTCTGTACAGCTGCGAAGACCATTGAGGATTGTGGCTGGGTCAATTACCAGGAATATCATGGAATATCTATGGTACTTGCATGACGAATTGCCTAGAACCAGAAAGGCCCTGATCCAACCAGCTTTGCACCTCAACACTAAAATGGATGAGGATGTGCTGCGAAAATAGGGACCAGTCATTTGGCCCCTTTAAAACCCTGCCTGTGGAGCGGGGGGAATATGGCAGTGGGTCAAAACCTCACTCTACAAACCATGGAAGGTTAACACCCCTTTCAGAGGAATCTGTTCTGTCTCCGTTTTGACCCACTTCCATATGCACACTAGTCTGCACTTGCCCCTCCATTGCAGCTTGAAGCCGCGCAAGCTGAGCCCCCATCCTAAGTGTAAGCTGGCAAAGCTGCTTTGGGACAAGCCCTGGTGCAGCTGAAGCTTACTCTGATCTGACAGCCACGACTTCACCTTGTTTCATTGCGTCTAATGCTCACATTCCCCCGTTCTGCTCTCGCTCTCTGCCTATCAGGCAAGGTTCTTAAGATCACCTTCTGCATGGCCTGCAATCTGCCTCATGTGCCATCACTCTAAAAGGATTTTTGCATCAGGGTTGCCATATGCTGTCATGTACAATAGATCCCGGCATGAAACCCTTTTCTGCTTGAGAAATTGCGAGTTGCATTTTTTCACTACTGGAGTCCACATCCAAGCATCTGGTCAAGCCAGAACATCTAACATCTATATAGCTAGGACACGGCACAAAAGCCAAAGAGATGACTCAACTGAAATGGTGCTACTCCAAGGCACGCCATCGCCGGCAGAAGCCTAAGTAAACAGCTTGGCAGTTGAAGAGGTCTGAGATGGTTGTTCGTCAAAACCTCCACAGTCTAACTGTAGATCTGATGTTGCAACATGTTGGGAAAACGGGTGGGCTTTGCCCCGACTGCAACATGCAGAGGGTCAGAGAGCCCTGCGTTCTACAGGGCTTCGTCCGGACACTCAACTTATCTCAACTTATCGTCTTGGAATTCACTAATTCCAAGGCGATAAGTTGAGTGTGTTTTGAAGACCATTCAATCCAGTCCCCGGCTCCATGATCTGCATCTGAAGGCACCTTTAACTTACACGCCCAGATCTCAGTCTTGTTCCCAACTGAGCCATGACAGCTCACTGTACATTTGGGCTGGCGGACAAGTGTCTTGCACAGTTTCTCTATGTATTCTCACAGCCTCGAGCATTGAGTCCAACCCTGGATGTTGGCTGAACCACAAAGCTGCGACGCCTTCAACGTGCTCTCGTTGCAGCTTTGCATCGCAACGCCCAAGAATACCCGAGTAGTCGTCCCGCGAACGACACGTCACCAAATAGACAAAGACGTGAAGGTCGATCTACGCGAGTAGTAACACGGACGCCCCCCCACCCCCCCGAAAACCCTGTGAACTGATCGGATACATGTTGACACCGGGGCAAACCCCGAACATGTTGCAGCAGCTGCCAAGATGGGGATGGACATAGACTGAGTGTTGCTGAGATTCATATCCCGAGGGAACTCATATGACTCCAGCAAGTCTGCCAGCATGGCTTTCACCACTGGCCTCGGGCAGGATCGTGTGAACTTCCTCTGTATCTCGCTCGTTCTAGGTTTTCGTTTTGCCCTTTTCCTTTCCGCTGTGACGAGGGTGATAAAAAGAACAATGAGTAGTGAGTAGTGGAGTAGTGGAGTAGCAAATGACAAGTTTTGTGCAAAACACTGCCACTGCCATAGAAAAGCGAGTGTGGTTCTGCTTAAGTGCAAGTGCTACCAAGTTGCAGCAAGGTAGCAAGTTTTTGAGCGCTGTCATCGCCGCAAGATGCCACCTGAGTTCAGGACATCATTCATATTGCACGGGGTAAAGTCTGGTGAGCCCAAGAGCATGGGGGCTCAATATGTCAGCGTTCTTGCTTCTACTAGTGAGGCATAATTAATATGTCGGATATGTCGGTTACCTGAGCCTGAGGCAAGCTTTCTTTTCATCGGGGCAATCACACGTCACACTTCGAGATTTAGAGAGATTGTGGAGAAGTCCCGCTGAGCACACTGAACAAACTGTCACAGCGTTGGGGTCTGCCACCTTTGGTATCCCTTCTGAATCTTCGAGCAAGACGCAGCTTCTTGCAACTTTTTCTTGTTCTCAGGCTTCTCGAAAATGGCCTAAAGTGGAGAAAGGAATGTGCCAGGGAGTCCTTGAGGCAACGGTGCAGCTCTTGTTGCAAGCCAGTTGCAACGGCTCTCCTCAGAGCTTGCTTGGCCTGATCCTGCAAGTTCAAAAGTTTGGAACAGCAAACGCTCTGCCCCTAGCCTAGCTGCGTTTCAGTTTCCCTGATGACGAATCTGCGCATGCAAAAATAGAAAAAGAACCTCGGGCGACCCTCATTCACATCTCATGATATCTCATGACCATGTCTGGCGTCAAGGGCGAGTTGCCTTGGTCAGCTTGACGATCTTCGGTCTTGGGGTCCGAGCACCTGCGAGCCGAAGTTGCTGCATGAATTCGTCAAGTGATGTCAAGTGCCGCTAGTCACTAGTCCAGGCCTGGACTGCCTTGAGGAGTCGCAGTGCTTTTCTTGTCAGTCTCCTTTTTCATGGCTTCCTAGCATTCAAAGCGATTCACGCCAAACAATGGGATGTTGTTCGATTCATAGCGGCTCACCCGAAACCAACGAGCAAAGTGTACTACTTGAATCTCTTGGAAAGAGACTGAGAGTGGGTGTTCGAATTGCAACGGCAAAGAAAACCCTCGAAAAAAGTGGACTTTTGGACCGGCCTGGCCTCTTTGGCCAGAGTTTCTATATGTTCTTTGGCCCTCACATCTGCTTTGACCTCACAAACAGCACGCGTTTGCTTGATGATGCTTGATGCACATCCCGCCACTGCAATGAAGGCACCACTGCGCGAGCACTCAACTCGGGCTCAAGGTCTGGCCATGCTTCCTCGCGGGAAAAAAGCTCTGTCCATCTCTGTCCACATGTGGAAAGAATCAAGCAGGTCATAGCAGGTCCTGTAGTCATAGCTATCGACACGTGGTGATCTTATGTTGGAACGTGCTTTCATGTGATTTTCGGTGTGGGCTGGCCTGGAGAGCTTTCTTCCTCTCATTGTGCGCATTACAGATTTGCAACCAAAGAGGTTCTGCATCCATGCCTGCCACAACACCATGAAGCCAACAACACTGGCGGCGTGCTTCACTACCAGGGCTTTGCCAACAACAAGGTTCTCCTCTTGAAGTGTGTTGCAAGTGCTATACAGTAATAATCTGAAATTATATTAACAAACTTGAGAGAGGAGGGGGGTGAACGAAAGGTAGCAGGGAATCAGGCGTAATCCGGGAGGAGGTGAGAGGCCCCCCACTTGTTTGAAGAGAAGTGAGTGAGCGTGATGAAAGAAAGACTAATGCACAAGCGCTTGACAAAACCTCCAGAAGCTGTAGCGGTCTAGCGGTTTCAATACAGGTTGACGTGCCTTCAAAAGGAGTCACATATTTCTCAAGTGCAACTTCGGATTTACATAGTGACGTGCGGCGACCCTGTAAATTGCGTGGCCGCAGGCCATGCTTGCAAACAGGACGTGCTCAAAAACACTGGTATTTACGAGGTTTCGTTGCCGTCGATCCACAGCCGCGGCAAGGTCTAAGGCCACGCTTGAAGACAGAAGGAGCTGAAAACACTGGTATTTACGGTATTTTGTAGCCGTCGATCCAAAGGCGCACCACGGTTGAGCGCTGGAAAAGCGCAGAAAACCATGTAAATACCGGCGTTTTCTGCCGGGAAGGTGCACAAAACCCTGTAAATACCATAGTTTTGTGCAATTTTGAAGCCTCCAAAAGCCTCAAAAACCCTTTCTGACAAAATCTTTCCTGGTTTTTGGTCTCTTTTCGGTCATTTGTCTAACCGAGACGCATCAAAAACCATCGGTTTTTGCGGTGTTTTTTGCCGGACAGCCACAAAAAACGCTGTAAATTCCATGATTTTTTGTCACTGCTGAGGACTGGAAGAGCTGAAAACACTGATATTTACAGTGTTTTCGAACGGTTGACCCTGAGGCGCGCTAGGGTGGAGTTGAAAGGGGGGGGGGGGGCCCCCCCCCCGGCCCGCAAACGAAGATGTCGGGGACCATTTCTCCGAGAGATAGGCTGCAGCTCTGGGTTAATACATTTTTGCTAAAGCAAAAGGAAAACTCAGGTAGCGTAACCGCTACCTTTCGTGACTTCAAAAAACTATAGCTTGCTTCAGCCTTCAACCATTCGCATTGTCGACCCTAGTCTGTCGCACCTATGATCGGAGTCTCCGCATCTGTTAGAAGATCACGATTGGTGTTTTTCAACTCTTCCTCCGCTGTGGCACAAATGGCGCCCATTCACCTGGCTGGCTGGACAAGAGACAGCAACAGGTCAGTTGGCTCAAAAGAAGGACTTGGAGTTGCAAAACGGATTGACTTACCATATGAGTAGAACAATCTCACAAGCAGCCGGCGTCGCTGTGCTTCTGAGCAGCTGTGAAGCGGGAAGACACAACGGTGGAGGATGTCAACTCTTGCCAACAGTTGCCGCTCGGGTATGTAGCGTCTAAAAATGAGAAGGTCATCTTCACTACTATTATATACATTATTGCAGCAGCTGTTGTTCTGTACAGTTGCGATTGATGCCGAGCAGGACCACCAACCAACATAGAGGCTTCATTGTTCATGCTTCAGAAGTGCAGGGGGCGGCTGTAAGGAGCTTACCGACAAGGCTTACTGTAAGGAGCTTCGTCTTGGCATCGTGCTCATGTGGTTGAAATGGTTGAGCCAGCTGCGATGTGACAAATCGTCATTTGAAAGCAGTGAAGGTCCCAAAAACAAATCAGGTTCAACAGGCAGGCGAGGAATGGTAGACCTAAAACAGAACTTGTGGAAAATTCTGACGCATGTCCAGTGGGGCAGCAAAACTCTCAGCTTTTCTCGCAGGCATGAAATCTGATGCAGCGGCCTGTATCAAAAACGGGACGAAGAGTGCTTCTATCAGCAATTTGATCCTAAAGAGCTTGTCCTTGGAGCCATTACAAGTTCACAATACATGACCTTCTGACCTTCCGATCCCAGCCCCTTGCCAAAAATAACGTTGACTGTTGCTAGCTGTAATCAAGAGTTACCTATAGCTCCAGAAGGAAAAGGAAGAAGTAATTGTACAGGATGCAGCACACTTTCTGAAGCTCTGTGATGTATGAACAGAACTGCACATCCTGAACCAAACTGCGGAATCATTCTGGCGGCATGCTTTCGAAAACTGGACATGTAACAACTTCCGCAAAGCGCAGTGGCAAAGGCTCAAAGAAGCCAACAGCACGACGTGTCATTTCTTTGAGATGCAGGTTTGGTCCAGGCTGAACAGATTGCCGATGATCCTCTGGTTGATGGCTTCTTCTCTGGTCCAAAGATTCAACATGACCTTCCAGTAAGGCAACTCCTCATCTGTTCAGCTGCAAGGTGCCTAAACTCAACCTCTGCAATGCAGAAGGGCTTGGACTGAGCTAGTCCTTCATTTGTCATCCATTCAAAGAGACAACCGGGTTGTTCACTCTACCCAAAGCCGTTCGGTCGCATCAGATCCAAAGGAACAAAGCTGGCCTCATGTTGGAATCACGTTGTTGAACAGGTTGGAATCTGAAAAGCGTGTTACCATGTTTTACCTCATGAACATGTCCAAGTGCTCCGAGACCCTGGCAATGTGTTCGACGAGGCCTGTAACGATGAGTGTTTGTGAGAGAGAGGGGGGAGGAAGAGAGACAGAGAGAGAGAGAGAGACAAAACAGAGAGAAAATAGAGTCAGAGAGAAGTGCGGAGATTCAAAAACTAATATGTTTTTCATTGCTTTTCCTTTCGCACAAAGAGTTGAAGCTTTGATAACAGTTGTTTGGGGTTGACAGTGGTAGTTCCCATTTGGACGGCAGTTTTCGCACGAAAGACACACAAAACACGAGAGAAATTGAACTCTGAACAGCTAGTGAGTGGATGCGATATATATATAATATTATGTGTACCTATTTGTGGTTTACGTAAATTACTATGCTGTGTCATCATGACATGTGTGAATAAATATCAGAATCAGTCCGTCGGCATAGCCCCCCGCGCAGCACCTTCCGGCACTGCTGCCGTAGCGCTGCTAATCCATGTCTGGCAGTCTTGAGTAGCGGAGCTGTCAGTCTCATGCATTGTGGCTTTCAACATCCACAGCCTTGACCGCCAGGTTCCTCATGCAATTTGCCTGATCGCGTCGAAGATGTGATCTGATTCTCTCGGACCCAATGGTGTACGGAAAAACGGGCCACTGTGCTTGCTCTTGACGGTGTGATCTGCACATGGTTCTTCTTCACCTAGGCCCACTTGCAGTCACCTGAGTCCTCCCTACATATCTTCGGCTCAAGTCCTTCTTCGTGCCAGGCTCCTTGCAAGAATAATCTTTAGAATATGGTCTGTGATGTATGGTCTATACGCATACTGTAGACATGCATTGACTCAACCTCAGTGTCAAGCGTGGCCAATCCATTATTTGGCAACAAGGACGTGTAGGATTTCTCCCCCCCCTCCTGAAACAGGTACTCATGCGTGGCAGACCACGCAGCCGCATTGATGCCTGAGGGCCATCTGTGAGAAATTCGGCTACCGAGACTGGCCAACAACTTATATTTTAGGATGAGCATCCATGTGAAACACACATTGAACACATCAAGAATTTATGCAATCTCTGTGCCATTTATGCCATTTGTTCACTTTGACAATATTGTTTATTTCCTTTCTACCTCTGAGTTTCCTCGCTGGCCCAGTTCTGGGACACAGCACAAAGGGACTGGAGGTCCTTCAGCAGGACCGTGGGCCATTCAGAAAGAACTCAACTTCACCAGCCATACTACCAGCAAGAAGCTACTAGGAACAAAGGGTATCGCTACTAGGAGCAAGAACGCTACTAGTATTCCAGCTATTGAACACAGTATGCGGCCGTATGCGGCTATGTTTGCAGCCCTCTCCTGCAAAAGTGGTGCTAGTTGAACAAGCTTCAACCTAATCCAGAACGCTGAGCAGTACATCTTCAAGCACCTGATTTGCAAAATCGAGTCAACCTCTTGCAGTCTTGGGCTTCAGCTCAAGGCTTTTAGGTGAAACACCTGCGGCCTGATCTCACAAAATCAGTTCGTTTTGCACCCATCATCCATTCACCTGTCATACCTTCTCCATCCTTCTGCAGCGAACAACAATGCAGAATACGAGCATCTGTTGACTAGGTGATTACTGATGCCGCTAGCTAGCACAAAAAGCGTTGGACGTAACCGACCTGACCTACCATCACACTCCTGTCCAGCACTCTCATTTTAGCTGCCAGCGCAGCGCGGAACTAGCATCTTATGGGCAAAGAGCGGGGAGCTGCGTTTCATGGCTGCCAAAAGTTTTGAAAGATGTTGAGAGATTTGAAAGCTCGGAAGCTAAGCACATCCGAAGTATACGAATGAAGTATCAAGTATTGATTATTGGGTAGACACTCTCTGCCTTTGAAACATGCTCTTGGCAGCCAGAACCTCACACCACGCAGCCTTTTCTCCAGGAATGGGAAGTGAAGTGTCTGGCGGGGAGGGATGAAGTATCTCGAAATCCTGTCTCAGGGCCATCTTTCAAGCCGCCATTCCTGTCAAGATCCCTACGCCAGTCAGCACTAAATCCTCTCATCGGTCTCGGCTTCGATCCCTGACAGCTCAGATTGGGTGCACGCAATGAGCCAATCATGCCAAATGGTCGGCCAAACTTAACTGACGCGGGCCCCAAACGGTATAACGGTTGTGTGCGCTTTGTGTATTGCTTTGATAGAACCACTTACTGTGCAAATACATATGTACATACAACTTCATATAGATCATCCTGATTAATGCCTCACCCCTTGTTGGAAACAGCCAGGCAAATAATTGTCCAAACCCACTTGGAGGGCTCATGCACGTGGCAAAAGTTTCCCGCGCCGGTGTCTTGCTTGGAATTCTTCGAGTGACCAGTGACCAGCCGCAATTGTCCACAATACGTCAAGTTGGTCTGGGCACAGCACTTCCAGTAACATCATCCACCAACCGTTTCTATTACATATAGACCTATCAGTCGCGCGCCGCCGCCTTTCTTTCCCTCTTTCTCGTCGCCGTTCCCCGTCGTGTCCATGGTGGTCCCTGCTGGCAAAGGCTGGAAGCACTTGCAGTCGAGCGTGTTTCAAGGAATGATATTGTCAACATGTGTCAAACGGTTTCAATGAATTCCATCCTAGTAGCGATGCCCATTGTTACTAGTAACGATGCCCTTGCTACCTAGTAGCGGTGCCCTTTGTTACTAGAGGAATTCCCACCCTTAGAAACTCTTCCAGCTCTGAGGGCCAGCCTGTGTCTAACTCCACGTCGGTCATCTCGATTTTCCACATCGCGCCGATCTCTGTCTTCGTGTCTATCTCTGTCACCACGACGGTCGCCTTCTCGACGCTCACGATCAAAGCGCCCATCTCTGTCCCGCCCATCTCTGCGATCTCTGGCATCTCTGTATTCAATACGTCTATCATGTCTATCCTCTTTTCCTCTGTCCTCCCTTCTATCCTCTCTTCCTCTGT